ACAAAACTGCAGTGAAATATGTAACAACATGGGACGACATAGTAGCTTCTTGTTACTACTAGTAACAAGTGCCACGCTAGTAGTAACAGGTGCCTTACTAGTAGTAACAAAAAGCTATTGAATGCTCCAGGCACATGGGACGATGCCAAATTTGCCGGGACTGCGATAAGGCTTGAAGAATTCAAGCAAGCTTTGGTGTAAAGCTGAGGTTCCAAAAAGTCTAGGAACCCTGGCACCTTAAAGCGGCCTTCTACCTTGCCTACTTACCAGCCTTTTGGCTTTTATGTCATTGGTTTCAACTACCCCTCAGTGCAGATCTTCTAGATGTTTCTTTGTTGGAGGCCATCGCTAGTAGGTTGGATGGAGTTCTTTGCTTGGCGACGAATGTTTGGAGCTCGACCGGCTCCAGGGGCAGTGATGGCCGTTTCTTGGGCTTCTGAGAGGTGTTTCACCGGCACGCTGCTTTTCAGCCCACCTGAAGAGGAGGGCTAGACTTCCAGCTTCATTGGACGCGCACATTGTTCAAAGCAACGAACACAACCACAGAACCCTGTGAAAATAGGTATTCTCGTGTTTCACTTTGTCGTGCCTTGCTTGCCCAAACGTCTCAGCGTTTACAAGGCGCCATGAAAAACTGCTTTGCTGTCACAGCAAGAATCATTTTCCTGATTCTTGTACGAACAAAAACTAGTGCTGGCAATTTTTTCACACACTACTGGAGACTTCATGCCGGCTTAGTGTGATGTTGTTGTGGATGGAGTTTGCGTGCATTTGAATGATGGGTGTGCTGATGCAAAAACACTTTGCAATGTTGTGAATGCAAAGCCATCTCAGTTCTGTGCAACCAACGTTCCTTGTGTTGAGGAAACCCGAGCATTGAATTTAGCGCAAAGTCTGAAGTCATGTTCTTCATGCAAATTAGCTCAGTGCAAAACAGGAAACGAAAGAGAGAGAGAGAGAGAGGCAGGCGCTGAAAAAGACAGTCGCCTTAAAGCAGACGATGTCACAACCGATGTCACACATGAAACAGAACGTTTTGACAGATTTGGAAGAGAACTCGTCCTAGCCATGCTGCTCGTTGGGAGACAACGAAAAAGGGTTCACACCTTAGTAGTTTTTAACTCCTGATGTCACACTTGGACAACACATAGTAACACGTGCATCGCTACAGGAATAACAGATTGCAATGTCCTCAACAAACTGATTGATTTTGGAAACCTGGCTGCAGGGGACAAGGAGATGCTTGGCCTTCTTGAGCATGTGCATTTTCTTGGCAACTGGTCGAATTTCAGTGCCACATTTACACAACGATGTCCCAAAGCATCTACAAAGCGTCTGTGAATGTCCCAAGGCGGCAGGCTGTGGTTTTGTCCCTTCAAGGCCTCTCCGGGCACAGGCAGCTGGACTGAAACCGAAACACATCAGGTACAGTTCGGCAGGCATTGGGCCTTTTGCAGGGACAAGTTCTCTTTCACCTAAGAGCGATGGCCTCCAACCCTCAGATTGTCCACGGTTTTGCTCGAAATCTACGGTTTTGAGGCCGAGCTTACTCTCAAAAATAGAAAATCGCCCACAGATAAAAAACACAGAACAAAGTTGGAGTGAGGCGGAACATCAGGCTCTCCCATCTAATCGGATCATCCAAGTCAGCAGAGGTATGAAAACCATGAAGCTTTCAAACCAGCAGAAATATGTGCAAAAACCGACAAGCTTGCCTGGCACCCCAGATTGACTTCACAGGGAATGCCTGGAATCCCTGGCAAAAGAATTGTCAGAATGAAACCCATCTGCGGGAGAACTAGCAGGGCCGATACACGGTGGAGCGAGAGAAGGTAGACATTGTCTAAAATAGGCAAGAGTGTCCTCACATAGCGTCCTTGCTCCTAGTAAGGCCAGGAGCCCCTAATAGCTTCTTGTTACTAGTAGCGAGGCCAGGAGCCCTTAGTAGCGTCCTTGCTCCTAGTAATCGCTATAAGACCTGCAAACTGAAAGTATCAGTATGACTCATGTAACTATCAGTGATGCGTGTGTGAGGCCAAAAAAAGCAAAGCTGATCAGAAGTTGTCTGAAAACCTGAAACACGCCTTAACTGAAGGGAAATGAAGTGCCCATCGATCCCCATTCACTCAAGACGGGTTCAACGTTTCACGTGAGTTCAATGTGGAACTTCTGCACAAATACGATGAGTCGGGTTCCAAATCGTCACAGCCAGAACTGTGCCGGGTAGCTTCCCAAAAGCACCCGACCCAAAGACTCTGCTCACAGTGAATCCCTTTGCTACTGGTAGCGTCCTTGTTACTACTAGTAAGGCCAGGAGCTACCCAGTAGCTTCTTGTTCCTAGTAGCGAGGCCAGGAGCCCCTAGTAGCGTTCTGGCTCCTAGTAGTAAGGCCAGGAGCTAGCTTCTTGCTACTAGTAGCGATGCCCTTTGTCTGGTGTAGAACGGGAGGAAGGTACAAAAGCCATGAAAGAAACATCGAGACAACGAAAAGGTAAAAAAGGTCAATAAAGAAAGAAGGACACAGGAAGAAAGGACGAACGGTCTGAAGGCAGAAAGAAGCAAAACCAAAACACAAATTTGGTCGGAATGCACGAAAGCACAGTCTCCGAGACGGTAGAAAAAGCGAACACCGCGTCTAGACCTGGGGGACACCAACGAGAAACCAACGCAGCGGTCTGCCAGAAGCCCCTAGTAGCGTTCTTGCTCCTAGTAAGGCCAGGAGCTCCTAATAGCTTCTTGTTACTACTAGTAAGGCACTTGTTACTAGAAGCGTGGCACTTGTTACTACTAGCTTCTTGTTACTACTAGTAAGGCACTTGTTACTACTAGCGTGGCACTTGTTCCTAGTAGCGTTCTTGCTCCTAGTAAGGTCCTCACAGAAAGACAGGACGCTCTTGTGTTTTTTTGTGTATTCCTTTCTTCATCGCACTTGATCAACCTTCAGAAAAAGAGAACATGGGACATCGGAGAATCTGAACATACTGTAACATACTTTCAAGTGCTCTACGTGGAAATCCACCCTGTTTGCAGCGACGGTTTATCAGCCAGAAATGCTGCGGTCCAGCAATCCTTGAGATCACTGTTGCGCATTTCAAGAGGTACTTGAACACTGGACCTAGGAAACAGCAAGACTGAAGAAAGCAAAACTGGTTAACCAAGCAGTTTTGGGACATCTGGACGTGCACCGTGATCTATGTTTTGACTTCATTGGGCGCGCAGTTGATGTTTAGATAATTACAAGTTGTGTCTTTTGGCAATAACTGAGCCTCCAAATGTGGCACCGACATCACCTTTGCTTTTTTATCCTCTTTAATCCTCAATGTGCGGATTACGGCGCTCTTTGTTGTGAAAGGCGGGGGCTTTGCTCGGCTTGTCTGGTGCAATTACAGCGCCTGCGCGCTCAGAAGCGTTCGAGGTCTGGCAGCTTTTGAACGGTGTGAAATCACGTTTTCTTCTTTTTTTTGACTTGCAAAGGTGAAGGACACAGTTGTTAGACGTAAGCAGCTGCAAGAGCGAGAGAGGGATATGCATAGCGATGGCCTCCAAACTAATAGCGATGGCCTCCAACCTACCAGCGATGGCCTCTACCCTAGTAGCGATGACCTCCAACTTAGAAGCAATGGTCTCCAACCTAATTGCGATGGCCTCCAACCTAGAAGCAATGGCCTCCAACCTAATATAAGATGCAGTGTGCAGGTAAACGGAAGGTCAGTAGTACGCATGCTTACTGTAGAAGTTGTATTTGCTTCCGACTAACAAGCCTTGTTGCAACATGTTTGGTCGTATTGTCGAGTGCAAACCATTTTCCACGGCCTTCACACATTTTCTGCGCAGATGCCGGACCTGGGCCAATTCTTCAGCACAGTGTTTCGAGTCATCACTACAGGTACCAACGAGGCATGGTGGGGCAGTTTGCAGATTTGCTGCCAAGAATGTATTCTTGTGCATTGTTGTGCCCGTGCAACGAATAACGATAGTTTGTAGGTTCTTTACACTTTGCAAATCTAGAGAAGATTATTGTTTAAGTGTTTCTGGATCTGAAAACCGCCACCTGTAGGCCTTTGACCCAACGACTGAAGAGGGAGCAAAGGCAGAGTAGAGAGCATCACGCAGAGAAGTCTTCGTGTTCGTCCCGTCAGTTCAACTGTCACGGGCGGGGCGATAGGAAGCTAGTAGTAACAAGTGCATCGCTTCTAGTAACAAGTGCCTTACTAGTAGTAACAAGAAGCTACTAGTAACAAAGCTATGTTGTTCAGTTGAGTGGAACAATAGTGGAATCTAAGAGAGCCTCCAACCTAGTAGCAACGGCCTCCAACCTAGTGGCGATGGCCTCCAACCTAAGAGCGATGGCCTCCGCAGTTTGCTTTAATGAGTGACTTTTTGGTGACTTTCCAGCGTGCATGAAGGCTCTGGGTCTGGCAGTTCCGCTTCCCAAAGAAGGTTTTGGAGAGATAACCGTGGATGACTCTTGACAGAGAACAGCAATTTTTTGAACAGTTTTGCAGCTACCTTGAACCAGCTTCAGACAGCATATAGTCTCAGGATTATTTGCCATTTGCGCTTTTCCTGGTGGTTGTGGGACTCTCAGTGAAAAGCGAATCTGAGTTGAGACGATTGAGCACTCTTTAACATATTTGCATGAATGGTTTTGTTATATCCTTTCTTTCTTTCTTTCTTTCTTCTTCCTTTCCTTTCCTTTTTCCTTTTCTCTTTTTTTCAATGTTCTCATGATTATCATGTTGAACTTTCTGACCTCGCTTTGGTCTCTAAGTTGGTGATTTGGGGCCTCCTGGTGGTGCCCAGTAGCATGGACCGAAGTGATGGAGCGAAGTCTGTGCTCTTCCCTTCTCAAGTGCCCAAGCTTCAGGCGATAAGCGGCGCAAAACGACTTGGACACTTATTGTAGTTAATAATTGCATGTTTGATGTTTGTTTATTTTCTACCTTTCTTCCTTGTTTTCCTGTTTCCTTTTTTGACACATTTTTTAAAATTGTGTCTACAGCTCCAATAGAGGCTCAAAGTTAGCCCCTAGTCAGCTCGTTCCCATCCGCAATGGACTCCAGACACAGAAGAGCTCATTGAGCTCCTGATTGGATCGACGATATCGACGAATGATTCTGTACGACAACAAGAGTCTCGCCTCCTTGTGCAAGTGCACTGGCTCAGTCTTCCCAAAGGCGAACCTCGCCAGTGCGCCATGAGCGAAACAAATGAGAAGATGCTTCAGAAGATGCAACCAAGAGCATCCAACCTAAGAGCGATGGCCTTCAATCAAAGGAAAGATGCATCAGAGACGTATTTTATTCATTTTAGGTGACGTGATGTGACGTCTACCGTAGTCCACCTGCTTCCATTTGATTTCAGAGCTAGCCTCACTTGTCTTATCCTCTTCGTCACAGCAACTCTTGAACGTGCAGGCATTCTTGGTGGCTCTTCTGCCAGTTTCAGTCGCAGCGCCTAGCTTAGCTGTCAACGTTGAATCAAGCAAAACTATGTCACACAAGGCTAGTCTTAAGTAGGGTGGTCCGTGCTGGAGTCATTTCATCTCGTTTCATTGCAGGGCATTGCATTTCATTCGAAGTGGGAAATTGCTGAACACTCAAAGCCGTTCAAACACACACCGCGTCGACAAGCGGTGGACAATGGGGAGAGGCCAACGTTGGCCTACCCCCGCAACACCCCCAAGAGGGACCAAGATGCTCCGCCAAACAAGCAAAATCAAGCCTTGTTGGGGACCGACTATCTGAGGGCAAAGACATAAATTGGAAGAAACAAGGGCATTACTACTAGCTATTTGCTAGTAGGTGATGCTCTTGTTACTGTAGCGATGCACTGTTACTACGTTGATGCAAAGCTTGAGATTGACGGAAAATCTGTTTGAGAAAGCCACCTACTATGGGAGACAAGAAGGGTTGCAAGTAGGGTGAAGAAGCAAGTCATGCCGTAACAGCCACCTAGTGTGGGGAGACAAGAACGCACATCATGGTGTTGCTTTTAGTTGTTGGAAAAAGCAAATCAACAACATTGATGCGATTTGAAAGCCGTGCAGTTAGGCGCTGTTGAAGTCGCTTGCTCTCGGTGGCCAGATAGGTCCACGACCCAGTTTCATGAGACGTTCGTGTGATGTATGTGGCGGACGCCGTAGTGTTGTCACTGAAGTGATATGTTTTGAATTCATGAAGATGTATTTGTTCAAGCAAGCATGACCTTTTCCTTTCGCTTTAGATCATTGCTTGTTCGACAGTCTGCAAAGTTACCTCGCCTCGCCTCTTGAACAGAAGGTTCTCTTGTTGTAGAAGTAGAAGCACAAAAAACTCTTTTTCTTAAGGTTCTTCCTACTAGGTTGGAGGCCATCACTAGCAGGTTGGAGGCTAGTAGGTTGAAGCACTAAAACTCCTTTTTCCTGATTTACCCTCGGACGTGAACCTTGCGCAGATCTGAATGACTTGGACCTGGTCACAGATGGCTCAGTGTACGGCTCCTTTGCCTTTGTCCTGGGCTTTACCTTGGTTTTTCGATGCCAGCAAGCATATCAAAGATACTTTGCTTCTGCGAAAGCTCTGCACATGATGAGCTCAGATTCATGGCTTCAATGCTTGCTTTCCACTCATTCCGCACAGATTTCGTCGCTTTTCAGCCTTTTGCAGTGAAAAGGATTCCTTGTGGAGACACGTGCTTGGCATTCCTTTGTGTCTCAGGAATGGCTGGATGCCTGTGGCAGCTTGCTGTCCTTCATAAAAGTCTCTAGAGCAAGTGACAGCTGGCATCTCAGGAAAAGCAAAGCATTGTAAAGCATTTTCTCATTGGAAACAGTGGAATTTCTTGCCAGCATTCCACCGTTTGACTGCGGTTGTGCCATTCAAGAGCATTCAAAGTACCTCACTTTTTGCAGTTTGTGCACACTTGGCAAGTTCAGTCTAGAAAAGCTTGCTTCTTGCTTCACCTTGTTCTTGGACAAAGAACTCACACCCAAAATCTCATGCTTGCACTCAAATCTCTATGCTTCTAATTGTCTTTCAACTCAGGAGAGCAAAGGCGGTATGAAGCTGTGCTAGTGAGATTGCCAGGTCCTCAGAGTGGGCTCCGGTTCTGTTGGATTTCGAAGCTGCACAAATCGCTGCGGCTAAGACCAACTGCAGCTGTCAAATGAAGCAAACATGGAGCTCCAAATGAAGGTTTCGTACGTATGCTTTATCGGACGACTTTACAAACAAACTCTGTAAAGTGAGACTTCAAGAATTTCGAGCCAAGACTTCCGAGCCTGCAAGTTTTCGCAGAACGTTGCTTGTTCAAATCTCCGTTCGTAGCGTCTTCTTGTTACTAGTAGCGAGGCCAGGAGCCCCTAGTAGCTTCTTGCTCCGTTCGTAGCGATGCCCTTGTTCCTAGTAGCGTCCTTGCTCCTAGTAGTAAGGCCAGGAGCCCCGTTCGTAGCGTCCTTGAAGTTACATGATTGACAGTGTGCACCTGCCACGTTGGTTCTTCTGGGCAAAGTGATTTCTGTAAGCATGGCGCTGTGAGAACACCCTCAAATCGGAGGTTCGCCATGATGCTCAACCCCTGACACTGGACCCGCACACTTTGGTTCACATCCGGCTCACAAATCAAGTTCCCCTCGGTCTAGAACCCCGGAACATCATTTCTCGAAAGTTCCACACTAAATGTGGACACGCTGCTCGGTGAGTCAACTGCTTTTGTCTTCTGCAAACTCATGGATGTGGAACCTCAACTCAAAAGCGCCGAGTTGTTTCGAGTTCTTCTTTTTGCACAGCTGCACTTGTTCTTACTAGAAGCAAGATTGCTCTTAGTAGCGATGCCAGGAGCCCCTAGTAGCGTTCTTGTTACTGCATAGCTTTTGTTCTGGTATGTTCTTTCTTTGAGGTTTTGCCTGCTGCATGCCATCGCCATGGAGGAACTTTGTAGCCTTGCAGAAGCTCGCCAAAACAAAAGACTGACAAAGCGCAACGAGTTACTGATTTGAGAAACAAGCAAGAACTGTCCCAGTTGAATGAAGGCCATCGCTCTTGGGTTGGAGGCCATCGCTAGAAGGTTGGAGGCAACCTAGTTTCAGTTGTCATAAAAAACAATTCCCTAAGAGCTCAGGTGGTTGAGTACAAAAGGTATTTTAGTTGACCCACCCTCTCCCTACACTTTGTTAGATTCTAGTAACACACCCTGTAAGGTCCATCAGCGATTTTGGGCGAATGTGATGCTAAGCATATGGAAGTGCGACGGCCTCCAACCTACTAGCAAAAGGAACCTAATAGCGTCCTTGCTAATAGGAGCGATGCCCGGGTTCCTAGTAGCTTCTTGCTCCTAGTAGCGATGCCAGGAGCCCCTAGTAGCGTCCTTGCTACTACTAGCAAAAGGAACCTAATAGCAAAGGACTCCGACCTAAAAGCGATGGCCTCCAAGCATGAGGAAGTGCAACGGCTCATGAAGGAAGCGGGTTGTTTTCCTACACGAGATGTAGCACGTTCAGCTCACTTCAAAAGGCACTTCTTACCTTTGTTGATGAACCGGCATTGAATCCGTCATAAGACATTGCAATGATAGTGAAACTATTTGGAGCTGCGCATTGGGTGAACAGTCTTTTCGATGGACAAAGGTTCTTTGGCCTAGTCTGCCAAATCTTTCCCCAATAAAGTGGTTGAATCCATTGAGACTTTGTTTTGCAAACACATGCTGTGCGTCAATCCTCATGCACTACTGTCATTTATGTTCGATAAAGGCAAGGCTCTTTTGCATAGATTTGTGGAACCAACTCTCTTCTCGGCTTGAAATTTGACATTTCCCTTCTTCAGGAAGAGAATTTTCATCTTTTGGATATCGAGGCGCAAGTCTTCAACACATACGGAGACATGTTGAGAACCGTATTCATCAAATTGTGCCATTCAAACCGTGCGTCCATGTAGGCCTTTGCAAAGCAGGATCTCAAGGTTTTGCACGGCAGCATTCCTGGACCGCAGAAAGTGCAAGTTGTCCTTACCTTGGTTCATGACGTGACAGGTTTTGAGGAAAAGCAACCGAAGAAACAGAAAAAAGACAAGTTTGAGTAGCTTAAGGTTCTGGTTTGGATCAAATATTTTATCGTTCAAGGCATTGACACCGGAATCTTGGCGCCAAGCTTTGGGCACTTTTTGTCGTGTTCTTTTTCTCCCAAGCAAGCGGCAACACTACTAGGAGCAAAGGGCATCGCTACTAAGAGCAAGACGCTACTGGTAACAAGGGCATTACTAGTAGCATCACCCAAAACAGTCTCAGAAGAAGATCTCTGAACCGCTGGTGTGCCCAATTTCCTTGTCCGGTTTTACTTTGAACAGCACTGCAGGTCTATTGTCGATTCCTCCACCGATCTTGACGCGTGTTTACCAAGAAATAGGAGCTGGAATGGCTGAATTCCATGATGCACAACTCATTTCAATGTGGCCCTTCCCATTTCCATACGCTCAGCTCTCGCTGCTGTTGACCGTGCTTCATATGATGATTTCTCCTTTGATTATGGTGCCGGCCTTAGGCATGGTGTATGGCCTTCAACCTACTAGCGATGGCCTCCAGCGTAGTAGCGATGGAGTTGGTGTTCCTGAAAGATTTGCTACTGAGGTGCAATACACCAGGTGGGTGTGGTCTGCTTGCTTTCTGACTTGTGTTTCTGTGGTTAGCGTCGTGGCTCTAAACATCATAAGCCTGGAGCTGGAGAACCCCTTTGGCGAAGACCATAACGACCTCCCTGCCAACGAAGTCCACGATCACTTTCGCGACAGCCTGTTGGTTCTCTCTGATCCAGACAATTGGCAAGTTCCTCGCTTGCTGCAGAACGCAACTCTAGACTTTGGACACTTAAAAAAGCGGCGAGATTCTCAGCGAAACACCATCGCAGATTTTCTCAAGGACTGAGTTACCTTCCTGAGATGTTTCCTTTACCCGAAAGACAGTATAGGGAGTTCAGAACTAAGAACGCCTTGAAAGCTCATGCTTCCTTGGAGGCCATCGCTCTTAGGTTTGAGGCCATCGCTAGTAGGCTGGAGGCCATGGCGTTTCGCATATCTATTGATCACCCTTTTCGCAGGAAGCTACAGATCCTCAAAAGCCGGAAGTTCTTTTACTTCCTTTCCCAGAGCAAGCAAAAGAGGGTGGCTATGGTGGCGAAGGACTTGCCCGCCCTGGCGACTTGGAATCATGCGAGACCCATGCTGCCCACGCCGCACAGGTCGCCGCGGCACAGGAAGCAAGACTTTTCCAATATCTTGAGAAAGGGCTTGAGCGGCAAGCACTTTTGCTGGAGACATTCCTGGCAAAGCAGACGGGTATCTTCGAACAGCATGCGCACGTTACAAAGTCCCTGGCAACCACAAAGGCGACGCGGTTGGTCACTTTGTCGATTTGCACCTCAAAGCGTTCTTGCTCCGTTCGTAGCGATGCCAAGAGCCCCTAGTAGCTTCTTGTTACTAGTAGTAATGCCAGGAGTCCCTAGTAGCGTCCTTGCTCCTAGTAGCGATGCCCTTTGCTCCTAGTAGCGTCCTTGCCCCTAGCAGTATGGCCAGGAGCGCCCCTAGTAGCGTTCTTGCTACTGACTCTCATCACACAATGCACTGGGTGTAGAATGCTTGATCTAGGATAAGAAATCATTAAAGGCTCTCCCCCCCGCCCCTCAAAGATCTTCCTTGAAGAAGCCTGAGCCCTTCTACGCCCCAGCCTCGTAACTACTTCAGCTCAGTAGCTACCCCTGACTTGTTAGCTTACTAAAGCCTACTAGCGGCCTACCCTGGACCTTGATATAAAACCCTTTCTGTTTCTCTTTGTGCTTTCGCTCCAGGCTCATTCGCCGCCTTCAGTTTTTGCTGCGCCTCTGGAACAGGAATTCTGTGGTTGCACCTTGAAGCGGAGGAGCCTTCCTTGCACAAGCAAAGACATAAGAAGACAAACATCTCTATCATACAAGAGATAAAGTTCAAAACAAGCAACAAGATAAAGCGAAAGCTGGAAAGCGAAGCAGCTGAACAGATATTGGAAACCTGCCAGGAAGACGTAGTTTTGCTAAATGCGTAGAGAAGCTTGTCGTTTGTATTGTGTCAGTCTGGAAGTGGAGTGGTTGTGTTCGGAAGTGCGCTCTGGGTATGGTACCTGTTCGCAACCGCTTGTGTCAAGCCGCTTGCATGCTGTGTCTCATTCCTTCCAGTGGGATTCATTTCGTTTCATTTCCCTGCACAGGTGCCTGCAACCTAATAGCGATGGCCTCCAACCTAGGTTTTTGGAGGTGTTGAATGTAGCTTGTGCCCTTTTGGTATTTGCTTTTGGGTTTGCTTCGATTCAAAGGTACAATTTGCCGCTGTAGCTGATGTGCACAAGTTTAGAATCCCAAACCCATTTCAGTGTGCTGCAACATTTGCTATACCTATGAAAATTGGATAAAATTGGGGCAGGTGCAGTACTTCGTTTGTGTTGGTGGTGTTTGGGTTGTAAAGTATGCAGAGGAATCCTGAGATTGCTACATTTCGTGAAGGTTTATCGCTGTGCGGTAGGAATCTTCCTTGGCTGTGCATCGGCAGGGCTGTGCAGGCGTTTACTTGCAACATAACAAGCCATCATGACAATGACATACGTTATGATGTTAATAAAGGCGTGGGCATGCGGTTTGGCAAGCTTTAAGCTGAAGGCCCTGCACTTCGCCACCTTGCAAATCACCACATGTCACTGCACGATGCCAGAGACCACCACACCCAACTTCACCATGCAAAACCCTGAATTTCGGCGCATCACACATCACCACTTGGTCGAAACGAAACTAGCAGGTGGGAGGCAATCGCTAGTACGTTGGAGAATCTGGAACAAGAAGCTACTAGGGGCTCCTGGCATCGCCACTAGGAGCAAGGACGCTACTAGGTAGGGCTCCTGGCCCTGGTTAGAATACACTAGACAAAAGAAACTAGCAGATGCTTGGAGCACAGCACTGACATGACCGGGACGCAATGAGAGACAGCAAAGAGTGACAATAAGAGAAAAGGAACAGCAACGAAGCAATTTGCAATGAAGTCTTGAAACAACAGGTCCAAGTTTGTGTTTTCTTTACAGTTGGCTTATGAAGTCTTGAAACAACATACAGCTGGCTGCTTGCTTCCCAGGTGATGGACCGGTTTGCGACTGGGGCCAAAGGTTCCAGACGCATTTCGCACTCTCGAAGTTGCCAAATAGTGGCATTTTCATCCCGGCACAAAAGCTTGGATGGTCATGGACACTTGCAGGTTGCAGTATTTGGGGATTGTGGCATAGAGCCTGGCTTTCTACCAACTTTCGGAATAACTTCCTTCAAAACGACACTGGGAGACAGTGATTGTTTGTGCGCAGGTCTATGTCCCAGATGAGGTGAAGGCCTTGCCAGCAGAGGCTGCTACACGTTCCAGGGTTTTCCTTTTTCCAGTCTAAGGTGACACTGGCAAACTTGTAACAGCATGTCCTCCAACCTAATAGCAATGGCCTCCAACCAAATTGCAAAGGCAACTGCACATTCTGATTTGAGGCTCCAATTCTCAAGAGCCGAAGACTTCGGGACAAGGGCTGCGGCAAGCCGTGGTGTCATTTTTCAGCCCACGCAAACTCTAGAAGGCTAACGCACACGATGTGAAAGAAATGGAGATGTTTTTGTCAAAGACACCTCCATTGACCCTCTCACAACGGCAGCCATTTGCAAGAGCGTAGACGTGCCGAAGTCAGAGTGGAAGAATCCCGAAACATACATAATATTGTTACTAGTAGCTTCTTGTTCCTAGTAGTAAGGCCAGGAGCCCCTAGTAGCGTCCTTGCTGCTAGTAGTGATGCCAATTGCGCAAGTTGCTTGGGTTGCCTTTTTTGTGATGCATCCGATTGTCTCCGTTGCGCTGCAAAAAATAACCAAGCTTTTCCGTTGTGTGTTTTTCCTGCAAAAAAAGGTCTACACAGGAATAATCATGTTTCTTTTGTTTTGTTTTTCGGCGTATTTGGTGATTTGTTTTAGGAGCCTGGTGTCCAGGACCCTGATGGAGAGCTGCTTCTACCACTGAAAACGGCTAAGCCAAAAGGCGCAAAAGGCAACAAGAGGAAGAGTCCAGCAGGGTGCCTTGACTGAAAGTCGACACGTTTCCTTTTTTTCCTTCTTTCTTTCTTTCTGTACACCAGAAATTTTCGACTGACTCCCACATTCGCATGCCCAGGTGTTCCCACCTGTGCAGATTTTCCTTACACTTCCCACAGTTGAGTGTCATGTTTCCTGGCGTAGCTTGATGGTGGTTAGGGGCCAACAGAACAGCTCAAGCTGACAGCAGTGGTGTGGAAATTGGCAGAAACTGCAAAACTCAACAGGCCCTTCAGTCGCACATTTGTCGAGCAAGAATGGTATTCTGTGTTCCCTTCAAGGAGCTTGAGCTACTAGGAGCAAACGGCATCGCTACTAGGAGCAAGGACGCCTTACTACTAGTAACAAGAAGCTACTAGGAGCAATAAATCTACTATTTTGCCAACGGATGTTTTACACCGCTTTGCCCAACCGCGGCACACGTCTGGTTGGGGACCATGGCCCAGTTTCAAGTCACAGCAACCGGCTCCAACCAAAGCTGGTGTGGGTGCCTCGTTATCCAACTCCAATCCTGTAACTCATCGATCCAACGTGGATTTCATCCAAGTAAAGGTCAGGCGGCAGGCGCCTCTCTCTATCTCTCTCTTTCTCTTAGGTTGGAGGCCATGGCTCGTAGGTTGGAGACAACAGGCCCATCAGCGGTCTCCAACAGAGCAGGACCCATGTGTAAAGGTCCGTCCACTGTGACGGACATCAACGCATCGGACATAACAGCAACAGCTTCTTGTTTCTAATAGCAAACATTGTTACTAGTAGTAAGGCA